TGGACGTTGCCGAAGTGGCAACGTTCAGGTCGGGGACAACATGTTCGTAGAAGGTCCAGTCAGGATGATATGGACTCGATGTATCTCTGAACTGGTACTGGAATGGGGAAGCGAGTCCGGCAGCGTGTGATACTGGCTCAACTAGGGTTTGTTGAGATGCGTCTAAGAAATCAAACAAACCCCAGGGTGTCTGCGCGATTGAAATTTCGGTTGTGACGTGTGGCGCAGCCCAAGTTTGTGGTAGAACATCATTGACATTGAAGTCAAATCCACATTCGATAGGCATCGATACTTCATCGGACCATAATCGTGGATACAAGCAGAGATCAGCCTCGTGCACCACGGATACGGGCTGATAAGGATGTATCGGGCTTGGTGTTTGCGGTGACATAGTGCCCAGGTTAAGATAGCTGTTTGCACTCACAGACTGAGTGAAGAAATCCGGATCCTGTTCAGAAGTATCTATATAAGCGTAACTGCCGTTGAGGGTTTGCGAATCTCTTGGTGAAAGCGGAGTGAGCATTGGATAGCCAGAAAGCCCTGGGATTTGACGGCTGGCTTTCGCGGTGGCTTCGGTATCGATGTATGTTGCGGCGTATGAGCCTCGAAATTCTTGAGAATGCAAGCTCGTCGAGGGAATATATGAATCGAGGCGTGATATCACACTGGCCGAGAATTGCCTTTTCGGTGGTCTAGATGGTTTCTTGACGCTTGATCGGTGGTTGCTATCTGAAGTACGGCGAGTGGATCTTGGTTCGCATAAGATAGCCTTGGTGATGCACCGAGAGCATGAAGGTAGCTATGTAGTGTCAGCGCAGGAACTTGGACTATACAAGATGTGCCTTGGTACATACAGCTTTGTTACACTTCGTCTTTGCCTTAGCGCATGTCACGCACGCGATTGCTCTTTTCGATGGCATTCTAGCATATGGGTTGTGCTGAACTGCTTGCGTAGTAAAGTGATCCGACAGGTCTCGTGGAGTATGAATGGTCGTCTCATCCATTGCGATCGTATGTTTGGCTTAACAAGTGATACGAATCAATGCGTGTTGTTCCAAACTGGCTGTAGAACCACCGTGTCTTGAGAGTCGACTGAAGTCAGGCAATGACCGTTGCATCAGATAATGTCGAGCCTCTCTGGACAAAAGCGAGTGCTTGCTCGAAGTGTTAGGGATTGAGCTGTGATATACTCGTCTATTCCGAGCAGACTTGAGCTTGACCAGAACCGATAGTTCCGTCCAACGGCTGATCATATACGGCATCAAGCTTGCATGATGCTAAGTTTAGGGCCGAGATACATGTCTTCCGTGTAGGGTCCTACATAGCAAGGTATTGTTCTAGCACCGATGAGGCGCCTTCGCAGGGCTGGAAGCCAAGTCAAGGCATCGTGTATGAGCTGACGAAATGCCGCTGCTGAGGATAGTTAGCATGGTACGCCACCATGCCCGTATGCTGAATGCACGTTCATGGTAGAATGCGCCTGAGCGCGTGGATGATGACAAGGGGTGTCCTGCGCGCTGACAGGACCCGCGCTGGTGGAATTCGGTATGTCCATGATGACAGGTCGCACACGAATCGTGGTGTGGCTGAAGCCTCACCAGTGCCATTGCTTGGCTGGTTGCGTACCTCAGTTCGAGCGACATGCAAGTGCGACTTGACGTCTTAAGGTTCCAAGTAGATTTGGTTTGCAGAGACGAGCTCTAGGTGTCAGCAGAAGAAGTTTCTGTATACCATTGAATGCTTTCGGTAGAGTATCAAGGATTTCGTTGATGACATGATCATCCAGATACCACGGGGTCTTGATGTGGTCTGCACCCAGAGGGTGGTTCCAGACCGGGTCCGGGTCACCGGTGATGAGGCGCTGTAGTCCCTGGCACAAGGCTATTGTTGTAGATTCATGGTGATGATGTGGACGGACTCTGGGGAGTGGCGTCTGGTGGTGAAGTTAGACAGTGGGACCCCTGTTCCGCAGCTGCCCAGGTGGAAGAGCGGGGCCATGGCGGGCTGACGATGCTTACTGTCGAAAGCTTCCGCAAGCTACGCTCTTGGGTGGAAGTGCGATATCGGCGACGATGTATGTGTTATACGGGACGTGGGTGCTTCATCCCACAGATGATGGCGGTGGCCGAGAGTTGGTGGGCATTGCGCCAGACGTCATTTTCGAGCGGCGCACGGTCCGCCGCCATCTATGGCCTTAATCATGAAAGCCTCCCTCGCCAGGCAGGCAAGAGCCATCGAGAAACAACTTATCCATACACACTCTCAATTGCTAGACTCGCGATTGTATCTGATTGAAATTTACATCGTCGTGAGAGCTCGTAAAGGCTCATGAAGTCAATTTGCGTGGTGCCTGCTCGAGGTCACGAGCTCAAGCGCATGTCCGACTGACTTGTACTTAGGTATAGACCCTTCCTTGAAACAAAGCATTCCCAGAATCGCACAGCGACCCCTTCGCATCCGCGGCTTTGGTGGCCAGTGCCTCTCCCTCGCTCCATCTTTAGCAAGGCATCGTCAGCGTTGCTATGCGTAAAGATAGATAGATACGGAACGATCGACATCCGACAATCTATCAAGGCCAGAATACGACCATGAAGTATAGTTACGGATATAGATGTGTTGATAGTAACAACCATCACGAACGACAATTTAACGCAGGTCCGAAACATAGGCCGAGGTTTACTAACGTGGGGCCGTTGTGCGTAAGCAGAGCTTGTGTTTGAGACCTGCTTCGCTTTGGCCATCGACCTCGAGTGTAGTTATATTGAAACGACGAAGCTTGAAATGCGTGCGTCGTGCTAAGGTCTTCTGTTTGGAAGCCTTATCAAACCATCCATAAATCTTCGTGGGCCGTAGTCGCTATCACGTATCAATCGACAGCATCCGTCCTACTAGGTGCACCGCCCCTACCAGGAGACGCTGGCTCTTCCACGGACCCCTGTTTTCAGCATACGTACGCTCGCGTCATGGAATGTATTGGAAGCAAAGAGAATCGGGCGTATTTTGTGTTGCTGTCCGAAGAGATCCATCATGTGAAACCCAATGTAAGTGGAGTCAGCCTTACTGTCTTGATGGCGAGTTGTTGTCGATCTTCCTGCACGAAAGCTGACTTATTCGTGTGTCAACAGCTGATGCAGCTCAACAATGCCATGAGTGATACCAATGTGAAGACTGAATTAGATAACGGCGTGGTCGGCGCCCAGAACATCTTGAGGAGAATCAAGGCAGCAATAGCGACGATCCGCTACCTCAACTACGGGGGTGACCCGAATGTCAACTACCGCCTAACGCAAGTTGTCAACAACGCGGGCGCTCAACGGCGACACTCCCAGCAAATTCACAACGCAAACAATCCGAACGATCTGACAACGATTGGTGATTATTGGTCGGAGTGGATTATAGATTTCTTCGAGAAGCTCGTCAGCCATACCAAGGGCAGTCCCATAATGCGCCCGGGCCACCGGCAGTGGAATCGACAATTTCTTGAAGAAATTTGTGCTCTAGCGTGAACCATAGAGCCAGTACACACCGCACTGGCATCCTCATCCATCCAAAATAACGCTGCGGACCAAATCTCGAGTTCACAGATACACAAGCAGCGGCATCGTACTCTGCTGCCACGACCTTGATCAGAGCACTATCAAAATCGGAGCCCACTAGCGCCTCAGCGTCAGCCAAGAAGAAGACTCGAAACGGGTTGTCGTCTGCGTTCATCGGCCGGCCTCCAACTCCCTCCACGTACAGCTGTCGAACCTGCTCCAGCGTCAAGCCATCTAACACTGTAGAGTCTGATCGAGCGTCGAGTTTGAATAGAGACCAAGCCTTTGCAGTGCTAGTCGTGTCGTCTTCAGCCCCGTCTTGGCTCTCGAGGTCGAGCTTAGTTTCAGTAGTCATTCGCTGGAGCAATTCGCTCCACCGCTGATCCGATCCAGGGCCGTAGTATGTCCGGTAGATAGTGAAGCCCCAATAAGGCATGTCATTCGGAACGTCGACGAAGGGCACGGTCACGGGATGTTGGTTTAGATCGTCTAGAAACTTCTGGACTGATGGTGGCATGGTGGCGGTGAAGGTCGTAGCGTCAGGTAATTTGCGAGTGCAAGCGCGAAAGACGGGTTGGCGATGTGAGACTGAAGCACGTACGATAGTGGGTATACGTGCGACCAGAAAGCTTGCGGGATTCCCGAGGTCTGACCAGGGTGATGTATACCTAGGTATAGCAAACGAGCGCTGGCCTCATCAGGCCGCCACTTGGCATCACAAAACCTGCATACAGACTTACCTAGGTACTCCTTTGGGAATGCAGCCGGCGCGGCGTCCCATGATACGTAGATTAACTTGGCAACGAAAACCTTCAACCGACCCACTCCGCCCTGCATGAGAATAAACCCGAGAGCAAGCATCGAGGAGTCGGGAGGGGAATCTCATACATCATGAGGAAGGAACTGTACATGCGAAGTGTTATAAATAAAGGTTGAAACCGTGGTAGGCATGCATATCTGCGTATCAGTGATCCGTGGAGAAAGAGACGCGGAGGCATGAGCTAGTCCTTCTATGGCTTAGTGCGTTCGCCATATCTGCATCGCACTTGCCGCTTCATCGCGCACGTCATCCGGAATTCTCGATCTGAACCATTTTCGACAGTCGCATTGACTGCATCATTATCTATATCACCACACTCATTTTTGGATACCCTAGAGAAAGTTAGAAATATGGCGCAACGTGAAGACAGCGAACTGTACCCTGCGAAGTTTCTTGCGGAAAGCGCCCATCCGGAGAAGACACCAAACCCTCCCGATCTTCTCATTTTGAATCAACCAATAGCCCACTTCACTGCCTTTTCACGCCTTTGGAAGCACACTGGGTACCGCATATGCGCCGATGGTGGGGCGAATAGACTTTACGACATGCTGAAAGGTGACTTGATAGCGCAACGCGAACAATACGTGAGTAAGTATGTGATATATAGCGTCAACACAGGTCGCTGACAGGCATAGCTACCCGACATGATTCATGGAGACTTGGACTCGTTACGCGATGATGTGCGTGACTACTACGAAGCACGGGGTGTTCCTGTGCTACGCGATGGTGACCAATACAGCACAGACTTTGGGAAATGCATGAAGAAAATCTCGTCGCGTCTTACTTCCTCAATGGTTCGGGATGTGATAGTCCTTGGTACCCTCGGTGGGAGGGTTGATCAGGGCCTTGGGCTCCTGAACGAGATGTACAGAGAAGAGAATCGACATGCCGACCTTCGCCTATGGCTGTTCTCCGAGTGCAGCCTGAGCTTCATACTTCGGAGTAGGGAGACTCTGCTGAGAGGGCTACAGGAAGATGGTGTCTTTACTGAGAATGTAGGGTTTCTTCCCATATACGGACCGGCGATCATCTCTACCGAAGGTCTGGAATGGGATGTCAAGGAGTGGCCTACGCAGATGAACGGCGGTCAGCTCAGTACGAGCAACCACGTCAAAGCCAACGATGTGAGGGTTGGAACGGACGTGCCGATATTGTTCACGATAGAAAGAGCGCCTTTGTGAGAGGTTAGGGAAGTGTCGTGCTAGATATGGACTTGACATACTCGCGACTCATGGGGATTGACACGTAACGGTATCCTCGTGCTACATGTTCCAGCACGCTGTTGTTGTGTAACATCCATTGGCCTCGCCGATGCTGTCTGCATGGGAGACAGTGGATCAGGGCCATCATGAGGTAAGCGCGTGCGTCGTTGAGCCCATCGTGCTTTCCACGGTTCGAGCAATCGGAAGAAGGTGCGGCCTGCGAGGCGACAACATCACATACATCATGAAGATGGGAGACGACTCCGGCCACAGTGGTGAGGGTACCTGTCGAGTCGTGTTGTGCCAGTAACCGTTCGGCTGTGGTGAAAGCATGAGGAGAGTCCGAAGCGCGACGCAGCACAGGCGCAGGTGCAGGCAACCGCTCCTGCCCATCTTCGGAACCGCTCCTGTTGTTTGGTGAACCCTAATGGGGAAGCTGTGATTGGCCGCGTCGTGGGCAACTCGCCTTCACCATCAATGCTACTATCAGACCAGTTCTCCCGCTCAAACAATCACCGCGCTTGCCAGGCCAACATCGCTACTCACTGTCGCTACTACGCGCCTTTTGGAAGTTTATTCACTCGCATACGCAGCTCTTGTCTTCTGCGAGCCTCCCCGCTTTCTGTGTTGCTCACATACAGGTGCCATATCCACCCCGACCCTCCCACGTCCCACCGCGTCAAAGCTCTCCGACCAGCACCTTGCCTCGCGACGTCAGGCACAACACGTTCGCAGACCCTCGTCTCCCGCTACTCCCCACGGTCTCTTTTCAAACTCAAGATATATCTGAGCATTCTGTCGACAAAGCTACTACACGCAGCATCACAATTGGCGTGAGCTGCACGACATAGCGCGCGCTGTGGGGCAAAACGCCGGCGGGAACGCCAATCGGTCGCTAATCGCCATGGCGTCCATACGAAGAGTCGCCTCGTCCACGTCGTCCGAGTACTCGGAATCACCTCAAAAGCGAGATGAGCAGCTCAGGCGATCGTCGTTCTCGAGCTCAACTGTCGAGAGGGAAGCTGCGTCTCCCCGCGACACCAGCACAGAAGGAGCATCCGAGCCAGCAGGGGCAGCCGAAGAGCCGCTGATTGGCCAGCCGAGCGGCAGTCAGAGCCCAGCTTCTGACCATGGCTTCGACTTCGGCATCCCGCCAACGGCAGAGCGCGAATCCTCGCCGTTGCCCTTTGCGCCCATCGTCCCTTCGCCGCTCGCAAACTCCAGATCAGCGAGCGATGGAAGCTCAGACGGGCACGAGCCGCAGTCGAGCGATGATACCCAGTCGACCAAGCATCGGCCGCGCACCACGACAGGCCGTCTTCACTTGCGCATTCCGCCCCGGCCTCACTTGAGGACACCAAAAGCGAGGAGTACAACAGACTTGTCAGGTCATGGAGCCCGCTCTCCGGGCACCCCTCTCACATTACAAGACTTGGGAACCGACTATACTCGCTACTTCAACCCTTTCTCAGATTCCGCCAGTAGCCATAGCCGCAGTCGGAGGACCTCCTTATCAGAACGGCAGTCTTATGCCAGACTGGCCGCCCGCTCGCGCACAACCACTCCGCCGCCTGGCATACCACCAATCAACCCGTTCCTTACCCCCAATGCGTCTGTGACGGGCCTCAACGATAGCGTCATTGAGCTGTACGATGACAAAAAGAATGTGTCTTTCATCGACGACAGATTAACGGCGCCGTACGAGGAGAAAGGCATACTGTCCTGGCCACTGGTTTGCGACTTAGAGGAAGCGGACGATGAGATGCACATGCCTCGCGACGACGATGACATCAAGTTCAAACCGAGGATACGCGATCACTTTACAAGAGACAGCATCGTTTCCACTATCGGCCTAGCTTTCATGATATCAGGACTGTTATTCATTTTCATCGGCCTTCCAGTACTTTCTGCGGTAGGCGTCATCGACTACAACTCAGCCTACGGTATGCCATTGAGCATGTTTCCCAATCCCTGGAGGCCTCAGATCTGGGCTATAGTCAACAACAAAAAGTATCCACTCCTGGAGAACATACGGACAGGCTTGATCGACCCTGACACACCTGAATCTGTCAAGACAAGGGCCGGCGAGTTTGGCGATGAGTATGTGCTCGTCTTCAGCGATGAGTTTAATGACGATGGCCGCACGTTCTACGAAGGAGACGACCCTTACTTCTTTGCACCCAACGTCTGGTATGGCGCGACACAGGACGTTGAATGGTATGATCCAGATGCTGTCACTACCAAAGATGGTACGCTTCAGCTGCGCCTGGAAGAATTCTTCAACCATGGTCTCAAGTTTCGATCCGGTATGCTGAACAGTTGGAACCAGCTGTGCTTCAAGGGCGGTATCTTCGAAGTTTCAGTGTCGCTACCAGGACCAGCTGGTGTACAGGGACTCTGGCCTGGCGCCTGGACAATGGGCAATCTCGGCCGGCCAGGCTATCTCAGTACAACCGATGGGCTATGGCCCTACACCTACCAAGCTTGCGATGCTGGTATCACGCCTAATCAGTCTAGTCCTGACGGCTTATCTCACCTACCTGGACAACGACTCAACTCATGCACCTGCCCGGGTGAAGACCACCCATCGCCAGGTAGAGGAAGGGGAGCACCAGAAATTGACGTCATCGAGGTGGGTGCCACATCAGGATACCCAGGTCCAGCAGGTCTGCCAATAGCAACACAGAGCTTCCAGGTTGCCCCCTTCGACATTTGGTACCATCCGAATTACAACTTCACGGCGTTCCCAGACCTTCGTTACAGTGGGCTCAACACCTACGCCGGCGGTGCCTTCCAAGAGGCCATCTCTGCCAGCACAATACTAAACAGGGACTGGTTCGACAACAAGCAGTATCAGCGGTACTCTTTTGAATATGCTCCCGGAGAAGGCAAGGACGCATACATCTCCTGGAAGGTTGGTGACCAGACCATGTTCATCATGGACGGCCGTTCTGTAGGACCCAACGGCAACATCCAAGCTCGACAAATCGCAGAAGAACCCCTGTCACTCATTCTCAACCTTGGCATCAGTAACTCCTGGACCTGGATCGACTGGAAGAACCTGGTCTTTCCTGCCACCATGCGATTCGACTACGTGCGGTGGTATCAGAAGAAAGGCGAGGAGATGGTTACGTGCGATCCCCCGGGCTTCGAGACTACAGAATATATCAAGAAGCATCCGAAGGCTTACCAGAACCCTAACTACACAGTACATAATCCTGTCTTGCTTATCATACAAGCACACAACTAACGCAAAGCAGTTATGGGATCAAACCGGTTATGACTGGCCGAAGCACAAGCTCAACAGCGATTGTTGACCCGAGACGCCCTCTCACGACAGCGAGTACGATCACGATCACGATTACGATTGACGAGTCACCACGAGCGCGAACGTCCTCAAAACATCGCTTCGAGCGTCTCCCTCTACGTACATTGCAGCTATACGACCGACTACGATCGTTTACGGAACATGGCACTCGAGCTGTACATTACATTTCAGGAAACAAACATGTCGCTATTGTACAGATACACACATGAAGGGAAGCGTTTCGGTGAAGGCACACAAACACACACATAGGAAGGAAAGCATTTCGGGCAAGGGCATGAGAGCGGAGGATGGGTCTTGGCCATGTTTAAGCTACATGTGTCGTCTCCTTGCATATGGGGAAGGTTATATCGATTTTCGAGCGGCATCATGGCATTTTTGCATTTGTTGGTGTATATGTATAAGTAGCATAGCGTAGCCATAACTTTGGACAGGAACTTGCTTGGTTTCAGTTCTGTGTGAATTTGTCATGTAGTGCGTCGGGCATGTGCGACTGACCAGCTAGAGGATACATGAGATGTTGCCTGCACACAAAAACTTGCTTAACCATTGCTACATGCATGAGTGTTCTGCGAGAGGCTTCAATCTTGGAGTTGGAGAGGTGGTGCGTTCTGTTCTGTGATGCATTCGCTAAGTATATATACAGCTACAAAACACTCCACCTCACCACTACCCTCCTACTCCTCTCGCTCCATACAGCTAGCATCCTGACAATCCTTCACATCACAAACCTTGTGAAAGTCCTTATGCGCCTTCGCCCCCTTCCCAATAAGCTTCTTAAACGACTTAAACTCGCAGCTCGCACCCGGCCCATCTTGGCAATCCGGAATGGGTCTCGGCGCCGAGTTCGCAATAAACCTAACATACGTGCCCGGCTCATCGCCATGCACACCACCTCTCTCACAAATCATCTTCTCCATTCCGACGTGGCCAAGGAAAGGGATAAGGTCGCTCATCTTCCACGCGCGCGTCCAGTTAATGTGATCAGTTGGGAACTGCTCCGCGGCGTCGGAAGAAGAGTTGAACAGACCCAGTGCAGTAGCGATAAAAGGCGGGACTTCCCTATGCGTGAAACCAAGGAAGAAGCGCTGTTTATCCGGCCAGCCGTCACCAGGCGTGTCGTGCTTCTCGATATGCGCAAAGAGCTCAGACTGTGCCTGCAACCACGGGAAACCGAGGTAAGGACTCAGCGGGTTCAGCGGACCGACCATGTACGCGTACTTGAGATCCCACGCGTATTCATACGCCATCCACTCCGAGTCTGTGAACTGCGCGCAGATGGGGCTGCGCTCGCCCTCGATGGCGGATTCGTAGCCGCACAGCATCTGGAAGCCGACGACGTCGCTCGGAGTCAATTTGAAGGGTGTGTAAGGGGAGAGACGGTGGGCGACGGAGGCGCCGTAGAGGTCGATGACTTTCTTTTGTTGCTTTGAGCCGGGTTTCTTGCTGAAGTTCTTGCAGGATTTGTGGGGGATGAGGGATTCCATGCTGCCGTTTGTGTTTTCTGTTATGCGGACGATGTCGATGTCGGAGGCTTGGGGGAAGGCTTTGACGAAGTTGGCGGCGGTGTCGTAGGTTCTGCTCTTTTTGTCGGCGAGGATGCGGGTTGTGTCGGGGACGAGGTGGTGGTAGCGTTGCAGGAGGTGCTTGCCTA